CAACATAAAGCAGATCAAGTACCTTCTCGTCTTCTTCCTCGTCATCACACATGCTCATGTTTACCTGAGAACAAAAAAGTATTAATGGAACATCGTCACAAAACAGATGGGTTTTTCCATTGGGAGGGTTGTCGATACTGAACACTTTGGACAGACGTTTAATAATCATTTTAATCTTTTATCTTTCGTAAGCATTGGCACAGTTCACAAGAGTTGCTCGTTTGGACATTTTGTACCAATGTCTGGAATATTGTTAGCCACATGATGCAGTTTTACAGCGGTTAAATACCTCCTCATTAGCCATTGGTATTGAAGTACTTAAGTACCTTTGTTTATTTGTCTTTGAAGCAAGACTCACTCCGGTCTTTTTCCATCTATCTCTTCTTGAATGTCACCTCTGAATAGAACTGCGACATACAGTAAGTTGAGTACACCCTGTATTCATATCTCCTATGGTTTCTAATGGATCAGGAATTGCCAGTGTATCAAGAGATGCCCATTGGTCTGTCAAGTGTATCCTGAGTTGTATAATAGTTTATAATAATTTTGAAAATTTCTCATTTATGGATTTTCTGAAGGTCCCATTGTTTTTTTTGTCCATATCAAACTGTTAGCCACTTTTTTTTTTACTTTTTTTTTAGCTGTAACGGCATATAAACAACAGTCACTCATGTATGTGTCAGAGGCAACCACGCATTAGCTCGCTTACATTTAGGATACATTTTTTTTTTTTGTTTTTTTTTTTCCTTTATTCTTTTTTTTCTACGTAGAAGGCTACGTTCTCCTAATGAAGTACTCATTTGTGTTGGTTATGTACCTTTAATGTCATATCATCTGCATATCTGCACATTTTTCCTAGAGAGGCTAGATAGATAATATAACGTACTGTATCTTCACAGAGTGGTGCTTTAATGATCTAAAGTCCGTATTGCTCACCAGGTCCTGATTGAAGTTTGTCTTTTTGGCAGAGAGGTGGAAGTAGTTCCAAGCAATGAGCACGAGGAGGAAGAGGGGCAACATGAAGAGCTCCCAGAACCAAACGGTCACAATGAAGATCTTAAAAACAAAAAAACAAACAAAAAAAAAAAACATGACATGATGACTATGTATCACACTGTTCAGATGCGCATCTGTCATCAAGTTTAGTTATTGCAAAGGCAGTGAAAGTAGACTCCAAACAACCGTTTCGTGATTGCCTTTGTCGTACCCTAACATGCCACCAGGGCCTTCATATATGATATGTGTACATCTTTACTAATGACATAACATGTTATGTTACCAAGAGAGAACAAATGACTTACCAAGAAGGCTATTAAACTCCGTTGTGTGCTCTCCCATTGAAAACAGCTTTTAATGTACTGTAATGTGTACAGAACTGCTGTACTAATTCTTCGAACCCGATATATATTCCTGGCAAGAATCTAATGAGATAGAATCAAACACTGGTTAGATCCAGATATAAAGATGGACATAGTGTTTATTGATTTGGTAAAACGGTTGAATCTACTCCAATTTAAAACGCATGTCAGTTGCACAGATACATATTTTTACCATTAAAGTATTAAAATGAAAAATAATATAATAATATAAAGAGAATATCTTCCCTATAAATATTTATAAAATACGTCCCTCAGTACATTGAAGATTTGTTTTTTCAATCCGATCTCGTGAAATTTTAATGTCCCTCAGTACATTGAATATTTTTTTTTTCAATCCGATCTCGTGAAATTTTCACTATATCGTAAAATACATTATAAAAATAATTATACATATCAACGTTTTGGCTTTAAAAATGGGGATTCTTGTTTTGAAATTGCGAATGATCGCTAGTTACGTTTGATAGCTTTTTTTTTTTTTACCTAGATCGTACACCAGCGCTTTTTTTTTTTTACCTAGATCGTACACCGCATACTATTGGCTAATACAATGCGTACTCAGTGTACTTTTGGCTAATCGAGCATGCTCTTCTGTTCCTTACGGTAATTGGCTCATGCACTGTAGCATCTATCATCACCCCCTAAATATATAAGGGTAAATATTTACGTAAATAATATAATAATTATCTCAACTGTACTTTGCGATTTTTCACATTTCGTGTTTTTTTTTTTTTTATCCAATCATATGTTAGCCTCACGTGTTGCCAGATTGAAAGAAATCTGCCCTAGAGTTTGAAGAATCGGTAGTACTGTTGCTGAGAGCCTTAAATGAATGTCAATGACATTGTTTCATTAACCAATCAGATTTTGAGTCGGTCACAACAAGGCATTTCTAGCTGGCCCGGAGTTACACTGGCGAATTATGTGATTTTGGTGATTCAATTCTCAAATCTACCAACATGCACCTAGCATGCTCAGAAATTACATTTCATTACATCTCTGTGTTGACTAGTTCTGTTGAGGGCGGGAATAATATTTTATTACCTTTTTGTTGAACCTCAGGTTTTCTGTTGTTAATTTGATCTCCTTCTGTTGGAATGTTGTGATGCTAGCTCTGACCTGGAACAGTGGAGGAAAAACAAAACTGTTGGTTTTTTTTCCTTAAAAAAAAAAATTTTAATTTCACAACCATACTATTGGAATGATTACAAATATTCAAAAATGCCGCAGCCTTACTTTATTATAGATAACATCAAGAACTATTGTGATCGTGCCTTTGGCTACGCATCCCAAGTCTTCTTTTTTCAAGAACAGATTCAACTCCTGTCCATTTTGGACCTTGACAAACGTTAAAAAAAAAAAAAAAATCTACAGTCAATCTGCATTTCGAGTAAAACTGAATTTTACGCATCGAGATAAAATCAACTTACGCTCAGCAAAGGAATGGCCACTTTACCCAAGAAGTTTGGGTTTTTTTCTCCATTCTCATCAAAGACAGTCAGCTCCACGACATCGTTTATATCTTTGATTGGACTGTACCAAAGATTTTATACATATATCAATAAAAAAACAAACAAACAGTGTAACATATCTTAATATATCTTAATTTTTTTTTCTTTACTTACAAGGTAAAGGCATGGCTCCACACAGGATTCACCGACTTGTAGACCGTTTGAGTTTGAAGCTTACAGTTACCAAGCTCAACAACGCAGAACGGGTTGCTTTTTCCTTCCAAAAAAAAAACAAAAAAAAAAACGCCTCATATTACTGAACCACAAAAAAGTTAGTGCAAGGGGGGAAAAAGTCAAAAATAAAATGTATACAAATACCATTGAGGTCTGTTGTAGGAAGATCATTTGCCTTTATGACTTTGATCTGAAGAAAACCAACCTCTCTGACACATTTGTGCGAGTTCTTAAAGCTCTGAAAAGGAAGTAAACAGGAAAAGGAAACATCTTGTAGCTTCAGTGACTTCGATGACATGATATTTAGTCAACTACTTTCTTGCGTGAAACTGGTTTAAAATCAATAGATTATTCTAATAATCTCAGGAGCAAGACAAAAAAAAAAAAACAACTTACGAATCTCTTCACGATGATGTCTTTCTCATCCGCCCTTTCTAAGGGCTTCACGATGGTGTCTTTCTCATCCGCCCTTTCTAAGGGGGCCAGTTCTATGTCAGAGACAGATACTCCCCAGGCTGGTGTGACCGTGACCAAAAATACTAGCCTTCCCTTCCCTGGGTCCAGGACATGAGTGTAGAGGTGATTCTCATAAAGTGAGAGCCTTGACAGGTCAATTTCAAACCTGAGGCAGAAATTGAAACGCATAAGACCAAGCGGGAGCTTCCGTGCACAAAATCAATGTTCGAAGATCCACAAAGGACAAAAAAAAACTTGCATTCCCCATGATTCGTCACCCTTTCTTCCTTTCTTTGAGAACACCTCGATCTGCAGCGGCTCCTGGTTATCTTCAAACTGATTGAAGTCAAACTGCTCTCTCCATTGGGGATTTGCTTGAATGCAAAGGTTCTAGGACAACAAAACAACTTAAAAGACATCCCTACATCAGTAGGGGTGTCCGATAATATTGGCCCGATATTAACATGTTTTGTAAGATCTGTAAAATCGTCCTTCGATAATAAACATCTGATATCACAAAGCCTGGGTTTTAGGAAATGATGACTGCAGGCAGTTACGGAGGAAGATAGCGGCAAGAACTTTCACGATAACGAAAACAAAATACTTTTGTTTGTTAGAAAATCCGTAAGGTCGTCTTACCCTGCTCTTGCACTTTTGTTCTCCCAGGCAAAGGCAGACATAAATATCCCCATGGCCATACTGTGGAAAGTCCTGTCCTTCTACTAAGGTGATGCTAAAAACCCCACTCCACACTTGGTTCTTCACTTTGTGCATCTCTGCTGGTCTCTCCGTTGGTGCTGCATAGTTTTGCTGCTGGGTAAAGATGTATTTGCAGATATTTTTTTTCTTTAGAGCCCTGGTACTACTCATGGTTACTAGTTTTTTTTAGTAGGACCTAGATCCTCTATACAGTGGAACCTCGGTTTCTGAATTCATTTCTGAAGGCTGTTCGTGAACCGAAACGTTTGTGATCACTTAGTGATCACTTGCTGCTTGCATGGTATTGTCTCGTGTACGACAACAGGGCAATTTTTTTTTGTTGAAAATTTTGTTCGTAAACCAAATTGTTCAAGCACGACAACAGGGCAATTTTGTTCGTAAACCAAATTGTTCAAAAAGGGAAGCATTTGACAACCGAGGTTCCACCGTATATACCACATCACAAGTCTTGACCACACAGAGTTTTCTGATGAGAGAAGCCCATCATTTATAGGCAATCCTGACCAATAACAGCAGAGATCATTCGCAGATCAATCAGTTAAATTAGGTTTGTAATCTATCTATCCATCCATCCATCTATCTATCATCATTTATAGGCAATCAGGTCCAATAACAGCAGAGATCATTCACAGATCAATCGGTTAAATTAGGTTTGTAAGCTATCTATCTATCCATCTATCTATCTAGCAATCCGGACCAATAACAGCTCATTCGCAGATCAATCAGTTAAATTCGGTTTGTAAGCTATCTATCTATCTATCTATCCACCCATCTATCCATCCATCTATCCATCCATCCATCCATTATCCATCTATCTATCTATCCATCCATCCATCCATTATCCATCTATCTATCTATCCATCTATCTATCTATCCATCCATCCATCCATTATCCATCTATCTATCTATCCATCCATCCATCTATCTATCCATCTATCCATTCATCCATCCATCCATCCATCTATCCATCGATCCATCTATCGATCCATCATCTATCCATCCATCTATCCATCCATCTATCCATCCATCCATCTCTCTATCCATCCATCTATCCATCCATCCATCTATCCATATTTTGTTTTAGGTTTGGTTTGGTTTACCCCTTATTTCTTTTTATTTACAACTTGTACATAAAAGTTTAAATACTACATAATGAAGTAGTAGTTTGGAAAATAAAATGTCTATCTATGGTCTTTGTCTTTTTAACACAGTGAACACAACCTCCAAGATTTAAAAAAAATATTATGAAATAAGGAATCGTCAAACCATGGGACACTTTTTGACATTTGTGTCACTTCATCTCTGGGAAGTTTGAGATGAGCTTTAACTTAAGCAAATTCATCAGAAGAGTTTGGTAACAAAGTATAAACACATACCTTGGTTTTTTTTTGTTGCCATTTCTATAGAGAGAGAATATTAAAATCACAAACTGGACACGATTTGAAAATAACAGTGTTTGGAATTCAGAAAGACTCTTACAGGGCTTCTTTTTATGGTGGCATCTCGAAACATTAGGCAGACTTCAACGACAATTACGCCCATGTAATTTTCTTTACTTTTCGGATCATCAAGAGGCAACTCCATTTCATAGGTTCTGTTAAAACAAAATAATAGGCAGATGAAACCATGTTGTTTGATTTTTTTTTTTCCCACAAACATTGCGGTAGTTGCGTTCTAAAAAATAATCCCACAAACATTGCGGTAGTTGCGTTCCAAGACTCACCGGAAAAGGGGAAAAAAAATGGGGGAGAGGACGGATTTTGTGTTCAAATAATTGGTGTTTTTGGTTTTTAGTAAAATGTATGTTGTCGTCGCATTAATGTTTTATTTGTATTATGCTATTATTGATGCTTTTGATGTCTGTTATGTCAAAGCTGTGGCTAAATTGTGCTGTGTGTTTGTAGCTTTAGTAAGGGTGTTGTTATGACTCCATGATTTGTCCGGGGTGAAACAACTGGTTTGACTACATTTTGGCATAATACTGAAGGTTTCTGTAGCCACGATGACTTCATTCAAATGTTGACGTATTCAGATATAAAGCCTAGGTGAGAAATGACGGGCACAGAGACATACATGTGTATTTCTTACCTGTACAAGTCAAGATTTTTCAGGGCAAGGGAGGTTGATCCCATGAACTCATCAGAAGTACGATTTTTATCATAGACCTGCAATGGATTTACAAACGACATTCACAGCAGAGAGTTAAATATTGTAAAAAAAAAAAGTGGTTTTGTACAAAAAAAAGAAGAAAAAAAAGGGTACTGACCCTAACGTCTACGATATGTTCTCTGTCTCGAAGAGGATGAGAAAATGATTCGTTCCAGCGTGGATTCAGACTTTTATAAACCACTTTGCTTTTGTAGAACTGTTTTCCTTCGAGTTTGAATTTCACATAGGGATCACTTGAGCCTGTGTTAAAAAAACAGTTACATTGTAAAATATAATGAAGTGGCTGTGGTACTGTGAAATGAGAGTGACATAATTATTTACAATATAATTCTCATAATTCATTAAAACCTATTTTTGCCTAAACAAGGGTAATATTACGGAATCAAACCAGTATTCTACATCAGGGGTGCCCAACCCCTGGTCCAGGGACCGGTGCCGGTCCGTATGTCAATTGGTACCCCAATAAAAAAAAAGTACTTTAGTTTTACTAATTTACTTCATTAAAAAAAAAATCAAGTCATAACCCTTTACTTTTTTTCATTCAAGTCTAAAAGATGTTTTATTTCGAAAATGTAATGATCCTTCAACAATGTGGCGGTATTATCGGCTGATACCAGCCAACCGGTCTTTGGTACAAAAAAAGATAGAGCTTAAAATATTAAAACTAATGAATTCAGTAAACGAATGAATTCTTTACAGCATTTAGAGAATGGTAACCTACCTGAGCGCTTGTCTCTGATGACCAGGTTTCTCCCCTGTTTTAAAGTAACATTCAGGAGGTATCTCTGGACTGGAGCAGGTGCTTGGACTACACTCTGCAATAGGAAAACAACGACACCCATTAATGCACTTTTATGCTTAGCAATGATGTCAGATGTTTTATTGACAAAGCAGCGAAGACTTACAGAATTTTCTGGTTCTTTCCCATTTTCCTCAAATAAGAAAAAGCGCTCCCCGCACATCTATATTGTAATAAAAAAAAAAAGATTTAACCAAATATCAAAATATATAGTACAATGAGATCATAACTGTAATTGTTAGTTGGAATTGGTTGAGCTCTAACTTTCTGGGAGTATTTGAAATTGCTCTTTCAGAACTTTCAGACTTAAGTTAGTGAAAAGATAAAGTTACGAGGAGTAGGGGCACTGCAGTAAGTTGAAGTACCTAGCATCGACAGTAATGGACAATCCATTAAAGAGTCGAAGGAAATGGTGCAGGAAGGGTGGGATGAATGTTAGACGAGTGCCGGGTGTGATTTGCGACAATTTGCAATTTGACGTCAGCTCCCTGTGATGTGGTAGAGTGATCGGCCGTACTGTATACAAGGTTTAAGGTACATACAAAAGTTGACGTTTCCCACGTTGCCGATCAGTCCCCGACATGAATGTATGACAAGCCCCGGTGAAGGCGATTCTCTTTTGATAAACAAACATGCCAAGAGGCTAAAGACGTACCAAGAAGATTCTTCTTACTCTCCATACACAGTAAGGGACTGCGCACTCAAGAAATAACCTCAACAACAGGAGTGAGTCTTGCTGTGATGTATGGCAGGGGTCCCAAAACCCTGATCCCATGGGTCATTTGACATCATCTCGCAGCACTGCACTCATTCTAGGACTGTTTTACCATTCCCAAGTGCGGTTGCCCCCCCTAAAGTCCAGGTTCTATGGGTAGTGTAGGTGCAACGCTTTGAAGTGATGGGCAAAAGCACGGGGTCAAAACATACACACTTGCATGGTCAACTACATCTCCTACTGCCTTCACAAAAATAGGAAGCAGCCTAGCTTTAGCTCACTTGCCTTTGGGAGAATGCGAGTGTAAAGGGGAAAGTGGGACTGCGAAGGGGGGAGCAGTTGGCACTTTAGCGGTGCACAGAACTATGGGCTAGTGTACCCTTACATAGAATCAAGACGTTTTCATTTGTATCTTTCATATAAAGATAATCTGGTGATATTTCAAAAAAAAAAAAAAAGCTTAAGTCTAAAGTGTGTCTTTGGAGATTCTCAGAGTCTAGGATGGGGTAGAGTCAGGATGACCGCCATTTGTCTCTATTGAATTTACTTACCCAGCTTCCCCATGACGGCCCAGTGTTCTGGGAAAAAAATATAATGATGTTCCGTATAAGCTAGCTAAAATTATCCCTAAAGACACCTGGTATAACCAAAACAAGGAATACATTTGATCAAATTGCTTGGGAAAAGCCCACCAGCAGGGTGAAATAAAATGAGAATAAAATCTATTGTTAGCCAAACTCATAAGAAACCAAATGAGAAAAAGAAATCATAATTACATAAGATGTCAGTAGGTGGCGCTATTTTTTATTTACTTTAGGTAGAACTGTCAAATTGAGATTTATTCGTGGTACATGAATCTTCTATTCTCATAGACAATAAATCTGTACAATAATTCCCTAAAAGTGCTGTACAAGGATCCCAACTCAACGGGCTCAAAGAGATCCCAACATTCTGTCGAACTTTTGACCATATTTTAAAGCCAACAAAACTATTTTTTTGCCTGTAAGCCACTTGAGATGAACCATGCATTTTTGGTATATCCCATAAAGCAAAATTAATGAAAACAATGGCTACAAGGGGAACACCTGGGCTGCGCACACACATACAGTAATACAAGTACTCAACACATTGTCAAATAATAAAACTGACCTTAGCGACTTCGTTCAAGTCCTCTTCCTGGGCCAAGTTTTGCAGAGCCTCCTCTGTGCTGAACTCTTCATTTAAGAAGGGGGAGAAGGGTTCACTTTCATGCTCCTCTGAGTCGGTGGCTGAAGGCAGGTTAATTCTCTCCTCACTCATAGAGCAACAGACCGAGTCCAACGAAGTGCCATCTGTACTCTCCAGTGGGGTGCCGAGGGTGTTTGAAGAAACATTATTTTCTTTCCTTGGTGATCTTTGTCTTTCAAATAAGGGTCTTTCTTGTTCAAAACATTTGTTCTTGAGAGACAAGGGCGTGTCCACTTGCTCACTTGCCAGTGAGTGCGCTTTAGCTAGTGCTGCAGCAGGAGAACCTGCAGGACCTATCTCTAGAGAGACTGGTCTTGGTGGCAGCCCCTGTTTGAACCTAGATCTAGAATCTGAAATGGGGTCAATGGCGAATTTATGTTCGCTGCTTAAAAATGTCAATCTGGACTGTCCATCTGTTCTGTCTTCGTGTGCTCTGAATTTGTCCACCGTTGTTTCATAATGTTTTGACCCCCTCCGTGGGATTTCTAGAAATACGTCATTACACTTTTCAGAGAACGTAATGCTATCAGTGAGCGAGCCACTTGCAACCGAGTCTGTATCGCTTATTTGTGGGGATACACCATTGTAGATCCGATCGGAGTCAGTTGGTGACGGTGCCACATGTCCTGGTATCACCCTAAGGTCTGGCACTGAAATACTGCGACGATAAGCCAGTTTTTTTCCCTTTGGGTTGTTTGCCTTCTTTCCAGGCCTCTTCAAATTGATCAGCTTTGTTTTAAGTCGAAAATTCTCCAAAAAGTTCTTTTTCTTTGCGTCCATCCTTAAAGGAAGAGTAAGAGAAAGATCAGTGATGATTAACATCATACATACAAAATTAATACAAACAAATCAACAAACAAACAAATCGTTAACTGCATTAACATGCAGATATCCGATATGCCGATATTGTCCGAACATTTCATTTCCGATTCAATAGAAACCGATATAGAAAAAATATTGTTTAGGAACCAGTATCGAAATGAAGGTATTGGTACTAGTATCAAACATTTTTGATTGATACTCAGCCCTGGTCTTACCCCGTACATCTATGGTCAGTGATCCCGTTAACGCCTCAGTTAGTAAGTGTAAGTGTTTTTAACCCTTTCATGCATGACGGTCACTACAGTGGACAGCTGTTAAAATATCATTTTCTATGATAAGAATAGGTTTTGATGGCAGTGTTGCATATAAGCCTCTACAGTGGACGCCTGAGAATCACCCAACACTGTCATACAGTGGTCAGCCTTTGCAACTGCAGAATAATTGTGTCAACATTCAAAAAGAAAATTTGGTGTATAAAAACAGAACCAAATCAGTTCTTATTTTTATGTCTAAAAAGACATAAAAACACTTAGTAACATTTGTTAACAACTCAGTATATCATGGGTCATGCATCAAAGGGTTAATATGACCACTTTTCAGTAACAAGTAATCTAACTCGTTACTATTTTAAAATCCATGTCCAAAATAATTCAGAGATCAAAGTTACCTAGTTATCTAAGTATCGGCGCATTGGTCCTTCGTAAAAAGATACGTTTGTTTTCTTCTTGCATTTCAGGGAGTGATGTCATGTATGCAACAAATGTTTTCAGCATGAGGACAACTCACGTGCAATACATACCAATCAGTCAGTGACACAAAGTGGAGGAAGGAGTGAGA